CTGCTTTAAAATGCTATGGATTTATGTGTGCAAGTATGAGTGTGGTGTCAGGAACTGAAACTCGGAACCTGAAAATGAGACATGTGCTCTACCACTCAGCCTCATCCCTGCCCTAGATTGCTCATAAAAGGAAAATAATCTGCAAAAATGAGGAATGGGGTAGTGCTAACTTACCACATGACTAACCTGTGATTTTTCCAAACTGTTATCCTTTAATTCTTAAAATGCATTTCCATAAGAACTCTATGGCTACTAGAGCCTTTCATAAAAATTGTCATCTAGGTGCAGGAGCAATAGAGAGCAGGAAAGGCATTTGCCTTGCATGCAGCCAACCCAGGTTCAATTCCTAGCACCTCATATGGTCCCTAAGGCCTGTCAAGAGTGATCCTTGAGCACAGAGCCAGGAATAAGCCTTGAATACCACAACAGCACAATGGGTAGGGTGTCTGCCTTGCACGAGGCTGACCAGTCTGACCTGAGTTCGATTCCTCCTCCCCTCTCGGAGAGCCTGGCAAGCTACCGAGAGTATCTCGCCCGCGTGGCAATGCCTGGCAAGCTACCCGTGACGTACTCAATATGCCAACAACAAGTCTCACAATAGAGACGTTACTGGGCCCGCTTGAGCAAACTGACGAACGATGGGAGGACAGTGTGACAGCGCTACTACCAGGTGTGGCCCATAAACAATGACAACAAGAACTGTCCTCATTACTTCTGAGCATTGCATACTTCTCTGTCCATGCTGCCCACAATACTTAAGTGTGCGCACGTAAAAGATAATTCAGGAAATATACCTTATTTGATGAAGCAATGTTTCAGTTACACACTTAGCAGTTTGATTCTTTCAACTACTGTATGCACACTATGTGGTAGTTGCATACTAAGTTCAATTTAGTATGTGCACGCTAAGTCCAACTTAGTTAAAGCCTTTAATTTTAAAACAAAGGATGATATTTCTTCCTGAATTAGAAGCCAGTGACTTAACAGCTTCTGGGGAAAAGAATATGAAGCTACACATCAAAATTATTTCATGTGTATACCTATGTTTATCCACATTTCAAATCAAACTGATATGCAAACTATAAACAGCAATAACCCCAAATACAGAATAGGGAAAGACAAATCATATTCATATGATGAGTAATTTCCTTCTTCAAAGAGAACAAATACAGCATTAATACTACTGATGTGTATAGAAACCGAAATGTACTTTTTGTTTTGTTTGCTTTGTGGGCCACACCCGGCAGTGCTCAGGGCTTACTTCTCAGTTCTGTACTCAGGGATCACTACTGGCAGAGCCCAGGGGACCACATGGTGTGCTGCAGATCAAACCCAGGTCAGGCGCATGCAGCAAGCACCCTCCCCGCTGTGCCATCTCTCCAGTTCCGAAAACACACTTTTATAATTTAAGTGCCTATTCATTCATTTATTCATGAAATATTCACTGAAATATTTACTGGAAGTGGCAAGGGGAAGAACTTTTAGCAATACTAATGATTCTGCAACAAATAAACAAACTGCTATATGGAGCACTTACTCTACTTTGGCATCTAGACACCAGAAGGAATTAAATCTTGAAAAATTTCTAAGGAATATACAAAACTAGCTATAAGTTCACCTCCTACTAAATTATCCCTTTCAGTTTGACTGTATTTATTCAACCCTGAGAGACTATTCTTTGACTATTTTTTAATTTTAAGATATCACTCGCACTGTAGTTTAATAAGCATTACACCAAATAACTATTACAAAATACAAGGGAACAAATTACTTCAAGCCACTCACAGTTCAAATAAAGGAAAAATAAAAACCTACTGAAATTGAGCTAGAAATCTCTACATAACATTTCTTACATATCTTCTCTGGTCTGGTTAACTAATTAAAGTCATTCTAATTCCAGGCTGCTGAGAGTGAGAATAGGTAGGTTTTTCCTACTCGTATGTAGTTAAGAAAGTTTAGGTGTTTCTTAAACAGAACACCTTTACTATATTTTGCCTGTTTCTTCTTGAGGATTCAAAATATAGTACAAAAGTATGTACTCATGGTATACACCTTAACTTCTCTCTGTTAAAAATGATATCTGGGAGTAAACAGGAAAAAGTGTGAGAAGAATCTATTAGGGGGCCGAAGAGAGTCCAGCGGCTACGGTACTGCTCTCTGCAGCCGACGCAGTTCAACCCCGAGCATCCCCATGCGCCCCCAGGGATGGCCCAGGGAAACCTAGCCCTGCAGTGTCTAAGCAGCACCATATTCCTGGGTCTGCACATGAAACCCTAGGTTAGCTGAGAGTTCAAAGAGGGCTCAGTGGTCTGGAAAGACGGTTCAAGGGGCTGGAGTTGACCCTTGAGAGGGCCCCCCTGAGAAGGCCTTCCAAAAGCTGGGGCTGGAATGCTGAATCACTACTGATCAAGTGACTCAGCACCACTGCTCCTCAGAGGCGAGTTCTCAATCATAAAGGCTTACATGTAGATCTCTAAACCCTTTGTGAAGATTTTCTTATCTTTTGATAAGATTTGTATTCCTCAAACTATGAAATACATAGAAAACACCAGCAACACTAATGTTACTAATACCCAGAACTCTTTTTTCAGTAATCAAATACAAGATTTTCAAGGTGCTTTAGCAACACATTATTAGAAACTTAAAAAAGAATAACATCTTTAAAAAGTATACCCCTCCAACCATTTAAAGAGTTAGTAGCAGAACTCAATAAGAACATTCAGAAGACATCATTTAATATCTTCTAGTTACATCCTAGTCAGATCATGTTAGAAATCTCTACAATCGTTTTATTCAAAAAATTTAAAAATAAACCTAAATATAAGGGCAAAAAGTTCTTAGGTTTAATTAAATCTTGAAAGTGAGGATGAAGTGCAGTGAAGGAATTAACAAAGATAAGACGTGAGATAAAGTAAACTTCTACAGCTAAGAATATTTCATTTAAAAACTGAGCTTCTTCAAAGATTGCAAAGAATACCAAGAAATCCCCAAATGAAGAGGTCACTAAATCCATGAACACTCACCCAACCATTGGTAGGAGATCTCTTGGAGACCCAGATGCTTGAATCAGCTGAAATAGTACCAAGTTTTTACTGATTACTCTTATAGGGCAATGGAGCACAGGTTAACTCCATACTATCAAAAGTTAAAATTTAAGTTATAACTATTATTGACAGTGCTAATTCTAAAAATAATTACTCAAAGAAAAAGGAAACTGTAATGAGTTCCAAGATGAGTGAAACTTATTGAATGTATATATTATTATAAGTAGATTTCTTTACTTGTTAGTGATATAAGGCCTTATAATAAAATTCTTCTCTACGTATAAAAGCACTGACAGGAAAAAAACTGAAATTAATATTCTACCAAGTATTTAAGAATGTAAGTTATATTTTGAGACTGACTCAGACTGAAAAATTTGGAAAAGAAGTAGAATTTGTTTCTGAAAGACAATGTTGAGTTTTCAATATTCGGTATTTTAGTTAATAAACAGGAAAAGACTTTCAGTCCCTCCAATTAAAAATATGTATAGTTCTCAAGTTTAGACCTTTTATAATAATGCTAATTCTTGCTTTTTGGGAGGGAGAGGAGAGCCACATCTGGAGGTGGTTTACTCCTGGCTCTGAACTCAGCAATCATTCTGGCAGTACCCCGGGGAGATTATGTGGTGTTGGAGACTGAACCGAGGTTGGCTGCATGCAAGGCAGCCTTTGTTGCCCGTACTATCTCCAGTCTCAATCGATAATCAGAGGATTCTTATATTTCAGCACATAAAAAAATTCATGAACATAAGACTAAACAAACAGCTTCTATTTTTGGTTTTGTGGGTGGGGATGCTCAGGGTTATTCCTGCCTCTGCACTCAGGAATTATTCCTGGCAGTGTTTGGGGAAGCAGATGGGAAGACAAGGATCAAACCTGGGGTGGGGTGGCTGCATGAATGCCTTACCCACTGCATTATTGCTCCAGTCCCAGAGATTCCATTTTTGAAGTTGGGAACTACTTCCAACATTACTGTTAATCCTGCAAGTAATTCACGGAACAAAAAATATTTGATGCTACTTAACTGCAATGAGGATTATAGCAGGGTCAGTACCTGGATGAAATTACAGTAATAAATTTTACAATCTCTGGAACTCACAGGAAGGATGCTCTCCCTTTCCAATCTCCCTCTCTTCCTCACACCATTTATCCTCGAGTTCTTTGTGGTAAAAATTAAAATACTCAACTATTCCTGAGATGACCAAGAACAAAATCAGGATGGTTCCTATTCCTATTTCCCCTGAATAAACTAGATATATAAAAAGTACTTTTGCCTGACACATCTGTATCAAGGGAACAAGTGAAATAAATCTGGTTTAATTTATTTAGATAGCATGCAAAAACAAACAAAACAACCTGACAGTTTAATGTAAAGTAAGCAGATTCAAAGTGTCAACAAAATGCTAAAACTGCAAGCCAGCAAACAGACCTCAACTTGGCTGGTAATTTAACAGTTTTGCAAAGTGACATACCTACATTTATTGAACATGAAAGAATTTTTGAGATCTTTGATAATAGTAACAATATATGGAAGACCAGACTATAAAAAATGTTTCCTGTCTGTGCATGGTAGACAAAAAAATCCCATGATAAGGTCAAAGATTTCAGGATAGAATAGTGAAAAGAACATCTAGTGCAAGAGTTGGAATGTCTGGCCCTGGTTCACGACGAGACAAGCACACATGCTCCTCGCCAGCTACCCAAGGCCGTCTGCCCACGCTGTGTGGCCCACAGAGGAGGTTCTAAACATCCCCATGGACCTGGCCAGAAATAAGGCTCCCCTCCCCTGAAACAGAAGACCAAGACTACAGTGACTGGCAACCCTAATGTCCCTAAAACTACAAAGAAAAACTAAAAAGGAACAGAGGATGACATTATGAAAAAGCTTATGTGTGAGAAAACAGTAAAAGCAATTTCAGGTCTTTTGCAGATTTTAAACGATAAAGCATCTAATATTACCTTTCTTTCGAAAGAGTGCGTTAAGGTAATTTTCTGCTTGGCATTCAATCTTTTCAGCGTTGGGCTGGCCCTGAGATGCGAGCTCCTCCGTCGGGGTGGACTGTGCGGAGTCAAGAGACGGTAGGCAGTCCTAAAAGCAAAGGAACACGGAAGGACTTACAACTTTGATGAGATTTTATTATACACAGCAAAAATAAAAAAAAAAATCATTCCCTAGATGCTCATTTGTTCCACTTTTACCTCTGGCAAAGCCAAATTAGCCTTAATCCTTAGCAAAACTGTACTCTAAAAAGGGAAAAAAAGCATTTAAGATTTATGTCACTGAATAAAACTCACTATAGTAGCATGCCAGTAATGCAATATTTTCCAAGAGTTTTGCCAACAAATCAGGTGTTTTTCCCTGAAAGGTTGAGTTCTCAAATCCTCTCAAGTCCTTTATCACAGTATCTAAGTTGTTAGAACCATGTAAGATGCTGTTTGCAAAGTTTAATTGTTGTTCAGATTCAACACCAATATTTAATTATGTAAGATGATTATCGTATCCAAAAGAGTGCAAGAGAAAGTAAAAGACTAAACCAACACAAAACAAAAAAAAAAAAGCAGTACCACATTATCTTCTAACTACTGCTTCCTAAAGGGTAGTCTGAGCCCAAGCGAGGCTACCCTTGACCACCCAAACACTGAACAGCTCTGAACTGAGTTCATGAGTTAAGGTGCTACAAGAAAGTCAAGTGGAGTAAGCAAAAAAGATGAGTATCCTAAATTTTGATCTGCAAGATAAGCTAAACGTTAGACTTTTAACATAAGCCTTTAAAATGCCCTTTTTATACCAAAATCATGTATTTCAATTTCCACTTGTAAGTCACAAATTTCGAGAACAAATTAAGTTTAAAAATTGTTACGATTAGTTTAGAAATAGTTTCATAGCACTAAAACTTACACTGACTGCTTCTCTCTGTAGGTTACAAAATGAACATTTTTCATCCATAGACCAGTCAGTCAGCTCTTCTGGTTCACAGTCTTTAAAAGAGGGAAAAATATTCATTAAATATACTAACTTTAGTAAAACAAATAAAGTTACGACTCTCCACAGCAATGGCTCATATTAAAAAACAAGAACAAAAAACTCTATTAACAGAAGGAGGCAAGTGCCTAACTCTCAAATTGATGACATCCAGGAAGAAACAGAAATGGCTGTGAGGAGAGTATTCTGCACTGTAATGGAACCAAAGTAGCAAGAAAAATGAATGGTTGTACATTAATTTTAAATAACAGGGTTTTAAGTAACATCTGACCTTTGAAAAGATTTGATTATATTATCATATGATTTTTTTTGCAGCTGTGAAAACAGATTTATTTATTTTTTAATTTTTATTAGTGAAACGCCATGAGGTACAGTTGTAGACTTACAAATTTTTGTGCTTGGGTTTCAGTGATACAATGATCACGTATCCATCCCTCCACCAGTGCCCATTCACCACCATCAATGATCCGAGTATCCTTCCCACTATCCATCCCCCCCATCGCACCCTGCCTCTGTGGCAGGGCATTCCCTTTTGTTCTCTCTCTCTCCTTTTGGGTGCTGTGGTTTGCAAAAGAGGCACTGAGTGGCAATCATGTTTGGTCTATAGTCTACTTTCAGCATGCATCTCCCATTGTGGGAAGATCCTCCCAACACCCTTTACTTGGTGCTCCCTTCTCTATCTGAGCTGCCTTTTCCCCTAGCATGTGCGGCTGGCCTCCAAGCCATAAAGTGAACCTCCTGGTATTTATCTCGGCTATTCTTAGGTGTTAGTCTCCTATTTTGTTACTTTATACTCCCCAGATGAATGCAATCTTTCTATGTCTGTCCCTCCCTTTCTGACTCATTTCATTTAGCATGATGCTGTCCATGTAGTACCATTTGTATGTAAATTTCATGACTTCATTTTTTCTAACAGCTACATAGTACTCCATTGTGTAGAATGTACCAAAGGTTCTTTAACCAATCATCTGTTCTCGGGCACTCGGGTTTTTTTCTCAGACTTTGGCTATTGTGAACGGTGCAGCAATGAACATAGAAGTGCAGATGTCATTTCGACTGTACTTTTTTACCTGTCTGGGATGTATTTCCAGTAGTGGTATTGCTGGGTCAAATGGGAGCTCAATTTCTAATTTTTTGAGAATCATCTATATGGTTTTCCAAAAGAGCTAAACCACGTGACATTCCCACCAGCAATGAAGGAGGGACCCTTTCTCGCCACATCCGTGCCAACACCGGTTTCTTTTGTTCTCTTGGATGTGGGCCAGTCTCTGTGGTGTGAAATGATATCTCATTGCTGTTTTGATCTGCATCTCCCTGATGATTAATGATGTAGAGCATTTTCTCATGTGCCTTTTAGCCATTCCGATTTCTTCTTTGAGAAAGTTTCTGTTCACTTCATCACCCCATTTTTTGATGGGGTTGGATATTTTCTTGTGGAGTTCAAGCAGTACTTTGTATATCCTTGGTATCAACCCCTTGTCAGATGGGTATTGGGCAAATATCCTTTCCCATTCTGCAGACTGTGTTTGTACTTCAGTCACTGTTTCTTTTGAGGTGCAGAAGCTTCTTAGTTTAAGATAATCCCATTTTTCTACCTCTGTTTGAACTTGCATGGCCAGTGGTGTGACATCTTTGAAGATACCGTTAGCTTCAATGTCGTGGAGGGTTTTGCAAACCTTGTCTTCAATGTATCTTATGGACTCCGATCTAAAGTTAAGGTCTTTAATCCACTTTGATCTTACTTTTGTACATGGTGTTAGGCAGAGATCTGAGCCCATTTTTTTTTTTGCATGTAGCTGTCCAGTTTTGCCAGCATAATTTGTTAAAGAGGCTTTCCTTGCTCCACTTCACATTTCTTGCTCTCGTATCAAAGATTAGATGATCATATGTTTGGGGGGGGGGCGGAGATGTCAGTATATTCATCCCTGTTCCATTGGTTTACAGCTCTGCCTTTGTTCCAGTACCATGCTGTTTTAATTGTTACTGGTTTGTAGTACAGTTTGAAGTTAGGGAGGTTGATTCCTCCCATTTTCTTTTTCCCAAGGATTGCTTTAGCTATTCGTGGGGGCTTACTGTTCCATATAAATTTCAGGAGTGTTTGCTCCATTTCTTTGAAGAATGTCATGGGTATCACTATAGGGATCACATTGAATTTGTACAATGCTTTGGGGAGTATTGCCATTTTAACAATGTTAATTCTCCTGATCCATCATGAGCAAGGGATATCTTTCCATTTTATTGTGTCCTCTTTTATTTCCTGAAGTAGTGTTTTGTAGTTTTCTTTGCACAGATCTTTCACATCCTTAGTTAAGCTGATTCCTAGGAACTTGATTTTCTGGGGCACCATTGTGAACGGGATTTTTTTTCATGTCACTTTCTTCTCTCTCACTATTTGCATATAGGAAAGCCATGGACTTTTGGGTATGATTTTATAGCCTGCAACTTTGCTATACAATTCTATTGTTTCTAGGAGTTTCTTAGTAGTGGTTTTAGGGTTCTCTAAGTATAGTATCATATCATCTGAGAATAGTGAGAGCTTGATTTCTTCCTTTCCTACCTGGATGCCCTTAATATCTTTTTCTTGCCTGACCGCTATTGCAAGTACTTCCAGTACTTTACTGAACAGCAGTGGAGAGAGTGGGTATCCTTGTCTCATCCCTGAACTTAGAGGGAAGGCTCTCAGTTTTTCCCCATTGAGGATAATGCGTGCTGTAGGCTTGTCGTAGATGGATTTATCTCTCTATACCCATTTGGGAGGGTTTTCACCATAAATGTGTGCTGGACCTTGTCAAATGCTTTCTCTGCATCTACTGATATAATCATATGGTTTTTATCTGTTCTTTTGTTGATATTATGGATTATGTTGATTGATTTCTGAATGTTAAACCATCCTTGTATCCCCAGGATGAATCCCACTTGGACATGGTGTATGATTCCTTTTTTTTTTTTTTTTTGCTCTTTGGGTCACACCTGGCAATGCACAGGGATAACTCCTGGCTCTGCACTTAGGAATTACTCCTGGTGGTGCTCAGGGGACCATATGTGATGCTAGGAATCAAACCCGGGTCGGCCACGTGCAAGGCAAACATCCTACCCGCTGTGCTATCTCTCCAGCCCATGTATGATCTTTTTGATGAGTTGTTGAATTCTATTTCTTAGTATTTTGTTGAGAATCTTTGCATCCGTGTTCATCAAGGATATCAGCCTGTAGTTTTCTTTTCTTGTGGTCTCTTTGTTTCCTTTTGATATTAGAGAGATATGGGCTTCATAGAAACTGTTTGGGAGTTTCTGTTTCTTCAATTTCCTGGAAAAGCTTGAGAAGACTGGTGATAGGTCCTCTTTTATTGTTTGGAAAAATTCTCTCGTGGATCATCTGGACCTGGGCTTTTGTTTTTGAGAAGACTTTTGATTACAGTTTCAATTTCCTTGACATTAATAGGACTATTCAGGTACTCTAGATCTACTTGATTCAGCCTCGGGAGATTATAGGAATCCAGGAATTTATCCATTTCTTCTAAGTTCTCTTGTTCCGTGGCATACAGACTTTCAAAGTAGCCTCTCATGATGTTTTGAATTTCTTTGGTTTCTGTTGTGATATCCCTCTTCTCATTTCTGAGTCGGTTTATTAGGGTTCTCTCTCTCTTTCTCTGTGAGTCTTGCTAGTGGTTTATCTATCTTATTTTCTCAAAGAACCAGCTCTTGGTTTCACTGATCTTCCAGATTGTTTTTTGGGTTTCCATGTCTTTGATTTCCGCTCTAAGTTTTATGATCTCTTTTCTTCTGCCTGGTTTGGGCTCCTTTTGTTGGTCCTTTTCTAAGATCTTGAGCTGTAAAGTCAAGTTGTTTATGTGGGCCTTTTCTTCCTTCCTGAGAAATGCCTGCAGAGCTGTAAATTTTCCCCTTAATATGGCTTTAGCTGCGTCCCATAGGTTCTGGTAGCTGCTGTCTTCATTTTCATTTCTTTCCAATTATCTCTTGATTTCATCCTTGACTTTCCTCCTGACCCACTCGTTGTTCAACATTGAGTTGTTTAATTTCCAGGTGTTTGATTTGATTCTCCATGTCTGTGTGTGATTCACTTTTCTCTTCAGTGCATCGTGGTCTGAAAAGATTGTTGTTGATACTATTTCTATCTTCCTGATTCTATTGAAGTATGTTTTGTGTCCTAGCACATGGTCTATTTTGGAAAATATTCCGTGTGCACTGGAGAAGAATGTGTGTTCTTTCTTTTGGGGGTGTAAAAGCCCTGTATAGGTCTATAAGCCCTCTCTCTTCTATTTTTTCCTTCAAAGCCAGTATTTCCTTGCTAAGTTTTGTTCTTGTTGATCTATCCAGAGGTGATAAGGCGATATTGAAGTCTCCGGCTACTATTGTGTTGCTAGCAGTGTCCTTCTTAAAATCTGTTAGCAGTTGTTTTAAATATTTAGCTGTTCCCTCATTAGGTGCGTATACATTTAAGAGTGTGATTTCCTCCTGTTGTATGTATCCCTTGATAAATAGAAAATGGCCTTTGCTGTCCCTTCCAATCTTTTTCAACCTGAAATGTATGTTGTTGGATATTAGTATGGACACCGCAGCTTTTTTGAGAGAGCTGTTTGCTTGCAGGATTGTTTTCTGTCCTTTAACTTTGAGCCTTCGTTTGCTCTGACTGTTCAGGTGAGTTTCTTGGAGGCAGCAGAATGTTGGGTTCTGTCTTTGAATCTATTTTGCCACTCTGTGTCCTTCATAATCAGGATTATCCTGTTGTTCGTCAATTGCCTCGAGCAGGCACCAGTAATGTCACCTTCTTCCTAGCCCTGAGATTTTAAAAGAACCATATTCAATGCTCTTTCAGGGCTAGGAGAATGAGATCTATCATTGTCACTGATATTTGGCATATTGAGTATGTCATGGGAAGTTTGCCAGATTCTGCCATGCGGGCAGGATACTTTCGGTAGCCTGCCAGGTTCTCCAAAGTAAAAAACAAGATAAGATGATGTCGTGCAGCCGCAAATGT